TCTCTCTCTCTCTCTCTCTCTCTCTCTCTCTCTCTTTCTTTCTTTCTTTCGACAGGGTCTCACTGTGCAGTTCAGGCTGGGCTTGAGTTCACTTTGTAGCCGAGGCTGGTCTCTAACTTGCAAGTATCCTCCTTTCTCAGCCTTCCGAGTGTTGGGATTACAGGTGAGTGTTGGGATTACAGGCGGGCACCACCATGCCCGGCATTCAGGCTAGTCTTGAGCTCACTTTATAGCCCAGACTGGTTTTGAACTCGTAGCGGTCCTCCTGCCTCAGCCTGCTGAGTGCTGATATTTCAGGCATGCACCACCATGCCTGGCCCCTCACCTCCATTTCATTGCCCCAGCTATAAGGTCAAATACTGAGATTAGATACTTTGATTTACATATAGGCTCAGGGATTTTTTTTCTGCTATCTATTGCTCTTGACAGTATGAAGAGTCTTGGCTTTATTCTGTGGATTATTTTTAAATTGTTTCTAGTTAATGAAGCATGCCTGCTGGGGTCATGGGACATACCTGTAATCCCAGCTATATTGCTATGCCGCCACACCCAGTCCTTGGTCATTTTTATATACTCTTTTGCTAAATTATTCAGTAGTTTTGCTGAAAATATTTGTGCTTCCTCTTTATTTGGTTTTGTTCTGATTTTTAGAGACAGGGTCTCACTATGTAATTCAGGTTGTGCTTAAATTCACTATGTAGCCCAGGCTGGCCTCTGAACTCACAGCAGTCCTCCTGCCTCAGCCTCCTGCACCTTTCCTCTTTGATTGTGTCATCTCTGTCCAGTTTTATCACCAACTCCCATCTGAATTCCTCCAGTAGATTCCTAGTAGGTCTCTTGTTTCCATTATCTTTGCATCATTTCCTGCTGTCTATTCCAGTTAACCTTAATTTTTTTTTTTTTGTTTTTTGTTTTTTGTTTTTTAAGGTAAGGTCTCACTGTGTAGTTCAACCTGGCCTTGAACTTGCTCATGTAGCCCAGGCTAGCCTGGAACTCACAGGGATCCTCCTGCCTCAGCCTCCAGAGTGCTGGTATTACAGGCATGTGCCATCACCCCTGGCAACCTTCTTAAATCTCTATCTCAAATAATTGGCATAGGGGCTGGGGATTTAACTCAGTGGCACAGCGTCTGCCTGGCAAGCGGGAGGTTGTGAGTTCGATTCCAGGTACCGGAAAAAAACCAAGCCCCCCCCCCAAAGAACATCAAATAATTGTCATAGACTCCCTAGTAGTCTGTTAGAATCTTTATTTATTTATTTTTTTAGAATCGTCTTTATTTAGAAACAGGGTCTCACTATGTAGCTCAGGCTGGCCTTAAACTCACTATGTAAGCCAGGCAATCCTAGGATTATGGGCTAGGGCCATCACACCAGGAATTTGGGTGTGGCAGACCTAAAGGTAAATACAAACGGAGGGAGTGAAGGTAACTCATCACCCCTATCAGCTATTTTATCCTTATCTCCTTGCTATCCTTATCTCTTCTGACCTACCTCAGTATTTTCTGGTCTTTTTAGTCCCTCACATTGATTTTCCCTTCTGCTGGTCTAATCTGCTGTTAAAAACCATTGCAAAATTTTGTCATTAAATTCTAGAATGTCTTTTTTTATATATAGTTTCTGTTTCTCAATGTTGTCAATTATGTGCTTTATTAAATTAAACATTATAAGCATAGTTAAAGTTTGTGTCTAATAACAATTACATATTTTTATTGTATTTTTGTGTCTTTTGTATTCTGGCCATTTGGGTTTGTCTCCATGAGTACTTGCTTTGTTTTAAATACATGCTAGACATTGTATATGAAATTGTATGGATAACTTGTGGGCTAGGATGACCTCATCCCACGCTGTAGAAGCTGACAGTGTTGTAGCTGAGTCCCATTATTCTTGTGGTCCAGCCTGGTATCCAACTTCGGGGCTCAAGCAATCCTCCTCTCTCTGCCTTCCAAATAGATGGGACTGCAGATCCATGGCATTGTGCTCAGCTTACCCTGTATTTCTGACCAACCCACTGCAAACCAGGCTTCCTACGCTACCCTCCTTGGATTTGGGAGTTTGCTAGGTCAGCTCATAGTCTCAGAAGAACCTCTGTATTCACTGGTTTATTACAAAGAATGTCATAAAGGTCGGAGGTGCCCAACCAGATGAAGAGATCTTAGGGCAGGCTGTCTCAGTGGTCCCTCTTGTGGGTGAAAATCTCAATCCTATAATCCTTCAGTCCTTCTGGTGACCTGCCCTCTGGCAAGGCCTAAATTACCTCTCCAGAACTTCCTGACAGGGCTCTGTATGAATAACAAAAACCTCTGCGGTTGCTGTAAGAGTTGCAAAGGTCCTAAGGCTACAAATGTGGAGGTCCTTGGGGCTTGGGATTTAGCTCAGCGGCACAGTCCCTGCCTGGCAAGCGCAAGGTCGTGAGTTCGATTACTGGTACTGGGGAAAAAAAAACAAAAAACAAACAAAAAAAACCCCAAACAAACAAATGTGGAGGTCCTATTGTAGTAGGCCTCTTTTCTCCAAGTTTAGCTGTGGGGGACAGAGAAGGGCTGTCTCTAATCCTCTGAGGCAAGATAGCCCACCAGGACTGTTAGTGGAGGCCCATTTTAAGGCAAACAACTACTGGGAGGGAGGACCCAAGGGGATAGAAAAGGCTTCCTTGAAATGAAGGCCAGAGAACCAGTTCTTACCTCCCAGGATCCGTGTAGGGTGAGTGTGTGGGCTCTGCCCACAGGGGGTGAGGCGGCACTACCACCTCACTGATGACTGAGATCTTGCCCTAGGTGATATTTGCCCATTGTTTTGACTGCTGCTAAAGTAGGTATATTGCACAGGGCCTGGTGTGGCACTAGTGACCCAGCAGCCAAAAATTTATCAATAATGGGCTTAAGCCTGGGCGTAACCTCTCTTTGGAGAGGGTATTACCTTTTTTGAGTAGCGTTCTTGTGCTGAGTGATCACCCACCCTGAGGTACCATCATACCATGTTTGGGGATCAGCTCCTGGCAAAGGAATTGGGCTTGATGGGACCAGGTTGGCCAGGTTGCTGGCCCTTACGACAAGAGTTGCCATAGGTTTGAGTGACAAGGTGGCCTTGAATGGGAGGCATAGATTTTCCAATTACGAGTGTGGGATATGCTGGTATTACCATGAAAGCAGTTTGGAAAAGGAAATCCCTAGCCAGCAGTTGGCGAGGGAAGGTAGGGAAAACTGATGGGTGAACTCCAAGGACAACAGTCAAGGAACAGGATGATAATTTGCCCCATAGGAGGTTGGGATAGAGTAAGAGTCCCTTGTATCCAAGAGAAAAGTAATTTGCTACCTGTGATACCTAGAGTTACCTGAGACTTCCAAGGCCATGGGACATCCTTGGGCACTGTGGGCAGCTGAATTCTGGCTGTTCTTCCCCAGTGGTGGAAGACCTCGACCCCTTTTGAGAATTGGGGCAGCCCTCCTCCAGTGCCAAGGGCCCTCAACCAAATTCTGTTCTTTCCTTTATTTTTTGAGACAGGGTCTCACACTGTAGCCCGACCTGCCCTCTAATTAACTCATGGCAGCCCTCCACCCTCATCCTCCCTTGCCTGTATTCGGACATGATTGGCAAGGACTTAATGGCTTTTGAGGGCACTCTTTAGCCCAGCGTCCCAACTGCTTGCCCTTAAAGTACCCGGACTTCCCTCCA